AAAAAGGTTATGGATCTAAGGTATAAATTTGGTGGAATCATTCGAGTGTGTCTAAGGATCTGTTTGGGACAGCTTTCTGTTAGCTTTATTTTTCATACATCTACCACTGTTCGTTTGAAAAATTGCTTTTTTGATCATTTTTTTAAAATTTTTGTGATAGAAAGCTGATTTTTTCAACCTGAATTCTTAAAGTGTGGCGGCTGTCAGAAATTATAATATAAGAATTTGAAAAAAAAAATAAATTTGTAATAACTACTGCTACTTTGAAAAGCAGATTTTTCTACAGCGGTTTCACAATTGCTTCTTCAAAAAGCTGCATGTGCCCCAAACATGCCCTAAGTTGACTAAACAGCCTTAGTTTAACATCCATAAATAGATTGACATGATCTAACTTGTAAGAAAGGACAAAAAGCTTTCTAGACGAGGAGTTTTCAACTTGGCAAAACATAAGGTTGACTCAACACTGATGGAACGATTCCTCATAGTGATGAGAGACTAGGTTCTGTATGATAGCAAAGTATGCTTCGATAAGTGTTAATCCCGACTCTAATGAAGATCAGATACATTCGGGTTTATTTTTCGGACAATTTAAGATAAGTTACTTCCAATTAGAGAGGAGTAACGCAACAATATAATGAACACCAAATTTAAAGTTTTTTACTATATCAACATCAATAGTAGAGGCAACTATATTATAGTCACATGATGTAAATGAGGTGAAGGTCTCTTAGAGAAATTTTTTGGGTTTATTCCTCAAATGCTTAACGATTGTTGCCTAAATACATTCCAAAACATGCAGTTCCAACATCATTCTTACTTATTTAGTGTTGGCCTTTAAAATATATGCAAGTGCAAGAGTTGGCTATGTAAGACCTTTTATATATCGACATCATTTATTTAGTTCAAAACTCTATTTAAAGGCTTTATAATGAAAAGGTAAAATTATTTAATGGTCGAGTGCCATTAAAAATATACTTATTATCACATTCTGAAGGCAAAAGATTACTTTCATGTTGATATGGCATAAATAATATTATTTGTTAAGAAGATTTATCATTATTGGTTACCATTAAGACAAATACTTGTGTCTTTTATAGCCATTAATTATGGAAAAAGTTACATACAAACCACACAATTCTTATGTATTTATATATTTAGCAATCGGACTTTTGTGATTATATTTTTAACACTTGTGTGATAAACATTTGCTTGAAATATGTATTTCACTTTAAAAAAAAGAAGTATAGTTGTTTATTTTTAATGTGATATTAATAGTTTGAGTGCTTTGCATATAAATATGACAAATTTAGGTGTTAGATTTATAAATACATCATAATTATGTTGTATGTATGTTAAGTTTGCACATTGATGCTCAATTTTTTAAAAATTTTGGATAATTTGTTTATTCATTGCTTGAACATTTTTCCCCCTCTACTTTTAAGTGAATATAATGTCAAACTCACACACACATTCAAATACAAATGCCTTGCATCTCGATCTTAAAGGTGAGAGTCAAAGTCCACTTGGCTATAGTTGATTGTAAGATTCTTGCTTTTAGGGTTTGTGGCTTGAATGCTTTCGGACTTGAGCCAAAAAAATAGCAATCAAATTGACCGGCCAAAACGATACATGCAAGTGCATGTATTCCATAAGTAATATAAGCATACGCAATACTTCAATAAAATAATAATAAATTAATCAATAATAACTCTTTGTTATCCTAATTTCTATTCAGTTTTTTTTAAAAATTATTACCTACTGAAAAAGATTTGCAATTGACTGAACAAACTTAAATCTAAAACTTTGTTTGAGATTTCAGATGGAGAGTAAACCCTAATTTTATGACTTTCATATATTAAGTTTTTGTAATTCTTTGAGTTTTAAAATCATTTGAGTTGTCAGTCTAGAGTAGCTTTACCCCCTAATCTACCTTGATAATTAGAGTCCTAGTTACTTTTTTTAATTCAATCATTCATTAATTAATAATTTTTTTGTGCGAATTTGACTTAATATTTCTATAATAATATTTAATTCTTTTTTTAATTTTTGGCTTTAATATAATCAATTAAAAATCAAGTTACACACAAAAGCAATTATAGATAATAGTTACAATACATAACAAAATATATATAATAAAAAAGTATTACATAAGTTTTTATGACAGCATTATATATAGTGATACATAACTTAGTTTTAAGGTGTTACACACGGTACATAAAAAGAAATAAAAAATAAAAATCATTTTTCACTCTCACTACTCCTCAAACTCAAATTCTTCTAACTTTTAGAAATTAAAAATATATCGTAATAAGCATAAAGGAACTTCGCTTTCTCATTATCTCTCCTTGTACTCCTCTTGTTCTTCTTATTCCTTAGTTGCATGACAAACTAGATTTTTTATTAACTTCTAAATTTTAATTGCCTATCTAATCCTCAACAAAGTTTTGGAATCAAAGGAATGTCGATTCTTTTTCCTCTTCATCATGATCTTAGTGGAAAAGAAAAAAAAGTACTCACTAGAATTGTTAGCCCTGGATGGTTCTCCACACTCTACCTAGCAAATAGCCTTGGTCAATCTCGAAATGTAAATGAATTCTAGCTTAACACTACATTTATAGATTTCACTAGTAGCACAACACCAGACAACATACTTAGAATTCATGTAGAAATCTAGCCCAAGGGTTTAGCATTGTGGAACTATGCTGCTCTAATGACAAAATACAACCCAACATAGTTAAATACTACATCTTGTCGTATTATCAAAAATTAAATACCTTTTTTATCTTATTTTTTCACTATTGAAAAATACAATTTTAAGTCTCTTTTTTTTAAAAAAAATTTTAATAATCATAACAACAGCATCACAACAGTTAAAAGAGAGTATTGTTGACCTACCTACAACACACCAATACCACAACCCTAAAAGATAGTGTCCATTCACTGCACCCTACTCCATAAAATATTTATCTTTTTTTTTTTTAGATTTCATGATAAGTCTCAACTAATAATCACACAATCAACACACCAATCAAACAACTATTAGGTTACCTCTCATATAGTGATCCGTTAATAATGCTAAACTTAACTATGTCAATTTTTTTTAAAGTAATCGATACTTTATGTTGATTTAGATTTCCTCATCAATAGTGTTTGAGTTATCCATCATTTACCTTGAAAAATTTTTGCATTTAATCTTTTGAATATGAGCTTCTCTATGTGAATAAACTCCATAAAATTTAGTCTTGAATTAAATAAGAGCACTTATTTTTTATTTTCAAATTATCATTTAACATGTATATAACCATATTATTATTATTATTATTATTATTATTATTATTATTATTATTATTATTATTATGTTTTTTAAAAGAAAAAACAGTTTAAAAATAACTGTCACTTACATGGGGGCAGCCCATCTGCTCTTTAAATATTTCTTTTATTAGAATAACTTCTCTATTGCAATTAACAGGGCCGACAAAAAGTTAATCCCTTACTGGGCCACTGGGGTGAGCTCTGTCAGCCCAACTGTGACATCCACCTGTTGAGGAGAATATTTCGAGTCCTTTTCATTGTAATTACTTCTGAATTTTTAATAATAATAATATTTTTAATGTCATGCTTAAATATTGAGTGATATGTAATTATAAAAACTTAAGTGTTTGCATGTATAAGAATTGAGTACTTGAATGGCCCAAAACATTAAATGACTATGACCTTCATTTATTGTGCACATGTGAAGAGAAGGTAGCAGCTTCGTGTGAACAAATTCTGCAGAAACCCTGTGAACTGTATTTTATGAGAATAATTTTTTATTAATGTTATTTTAATGGTTAATAGATGGCTCAATGATATTGGAAATATATGCTATATCTTGCCATATAAAGAGTAATGGAATAAAAATATACAGAGAAACAACTGGTCCAATTACTAATGATATGTTGTTGTTGAACTCTTTTAAGATGTAGGTTCTCATATTATTTGTGAGTTTATATAATCCGAGAAAGATTTAGTTTTTATGAGGAAGGTGTGGAGTAAGATGATGAATGTCGTACTAATTCCTAAGGAAGAAAGGAATGGCTTAGAGGAAGTCTTTTTGGTTCTAGTGAGAGAGGGAGGCTCGATCACATTGAACAGGCTCAACGAGTATTCTTCCCTTTTAGCTTTCCCTTGCCTCCTATACATAAAGGGAAAAATAAAATAATAAAAGAAATTCACATACAATACTGTGTTTGTCTATTGTGTCTTGAAAAAATCATGATGTGGATGTTAGGAGGCGTTTTAAATGAGAACAAACAAATGTCCTTTAATGTAATGATTGTTTCTTTTTTTCGCTAATAGTTTGTCCTGGGCTAATTCCACAAGTGGACAGCTTGACCATTTTGACAGGTGAGCTCAATTAGACCACTTAACCAAGTGGGCTTAGTTTGTGTGAATGACCTTATTTTCTGATATGGGCCTTGAAAGCCCCATAAAGTATATCGATCATTTGGTCATGCCCGTAGAAATTTGGTTTATGAGTATTCTCAAAGCTATTCTTTTATATAATTAAATTACACCAAAAAACTATATATAAATTGAAAATTAGATTTTTAGTAGTATAAGAGTTCAGTAAGCGTAAAACTAACATAAAAAATGATGAATAATAATGTGTGTTAGAAAATTCACGACAGTAGAGTAGTACATTATTGTCTTAGTATGATAAGAAAGCTTGACACACACTCAGAAAAAAAGAAAGCAACTAATAATGACACTATAAGTTTTTATGTGGAAAACCCAGAAAGTGAAAATCCACTGGGCTTGACCTAGCTCAAAAGTTTTATTATAAAAAAGATTATTATAGTTGTAATTATTTATCTTTCAGGAGTGAAAATATTACTAGGTTTCCCAAGTTACAATATTGACGTGCAGATGAATTTGTTACTAGGAACGGGTGGCGACTGATAACAAGTGTCAGCATTCGGTTGGTGGTGGTATACGGTGTTTGGCGGTGATCAACGGCGATGGGCGGTGGTCGGCGATTAGCAACGGAGATTGGCGGTGATCGACGACAATCAACGGTGGTTGACAGAGATCAGTGGTGGTCGACGACGGTCAACGATTTTTTACGACAATCGATGAAAGTCGGCCTTGGTCGGTGGAGGTCAATGGCGATCGACGACGGTCGATGACCACGGTGTTGGACTTCGGCTCCTTCTCAAAGCTTCAAACTCTTCTTCAGATCTCAAACTCTGCTCCCTCTCACGAGAGGGGTGTGGCTCTATTTATAGTATTATGGGTGCAATTAATGCAAGAATATGAATCATTTTGGTTGGACGGACAGAAAATTTTCCTTGATCACAAGATATTTGATGAACATTTAAGCACCTTAACGATGTCGGAATTGAGCAATCTTGGTTCGTGTTTTTTTTCTTGTCAAAACGTTCGATTCGACTATAGCTAGATTCGACATTCGTTTGACATTCTAAATATGTCCGAAAAAATCCAAAAGTTAGTTTATGACTTATCTGAACTTGATTTGACTCGAATTGGAGTAATTTTGATATCATTGGTTTCGCCTCTTTAAGTCGGTTAGTTAAAAAATAGTTTTGTATTAGAGCTCTGGATGACTTTTTATCAACTGTTGAATATTTCTTGCGTAAAAAGTTTCCTCGACATTTGTGTCATGCCTTGAGATTTATACCATATGAGGCAGATTTGTTGTAGGCATATCAAATAATAGGATTCACATGCAAGTTGCTAGACTCTTAACATACAAATTGGTTAAAAAATAGTTTTGTATTAAATCACATTTTAAAAATAATACATTACTAATGCATAATATTAAAATTCTATACTATGAGCTCATGAACTCATAATTACAGTGAAGTAATCACTTATTATATCAATTTCAAATGTCTTCAAAGTTAAGTTACTCATTACATGAATCATCAAGGCCTTGAGTCACAAATAAAAATTAATCAAAATTAATCACAATTATTATCATTATTATTTATTCAGTAATTCTAAAATTCAATAAAAGTTTTAAGAAATTGTCAAACATTTGGTGATTGCTTACCAAAAGAGTTGAGAGATGAAGACGAAGAGATATCTATTAATTAAATCAATGCAACCAATAATGTAATAAGTTAAAAATAATGATGACATAAATTTTATATGGAAAACCCAACACTTGAACAATCATGGACAAGTAAAGAGAATTAATGATGACGTTTCTCATATAAAGAGAATGAAATATTTATAGATTTCTATAAGATCCCTTATAAGAAAAATACTCAAGAGTAAATAAAATAAGAAGACATTTATATTGTTGAATTTTTTTAAGACATCGAGTCGTGTGATATCCATGGTTTCACAGAGTCAAAAAGAGGCAAGTTTAAGGGAGATGAAAGTGGAGGATCAATGTAGTCTCCAAGCCTGACCTATATTTTATGTTTGAGGAGATGATCTAGCAAAAAGAGGGGACCAAATGGGTTGGTTTCGTGGGAGTCACGACACAATGCCCACCAAAAGGGCCTCTAGAGAGTCATCCCTTCTCTAGTGTCTCAAAAAGAAAAAAGAGTCATCCCTTCTCTAGTGATACAATAAAATATTAAAATACAAGTTGTGTCATACAAATGTATGCCTATGGAGACTTAATGAAAAGATCTCAATGTGCATGTCAAGAAGCACATAAATGAGAATGCGACATATGATAATCCTTGGCGTCAATATTTGACTTTGGTGTTCTTATAATTACAAGGATTGTCAAGAAAATGAGCTAGCTTAGTGAATCGAGTTGGCCAGGTCGTTAGACAGAATAGTTTGACCAGTTTGATAAGCTTGTTTAGCAAGGAATTTCGACAGGTCAGCTCGGCAGCTAGTGCAAGGCAGCTAACACATCAACAATTTAGGTCGATCGACTCCCCTAATGAATCACTTCGACAATAGTCGTGCCTTCTAGATCATTGTACTTACCCCGGCTCACGAGGCTGGTTAAGTACGAAATTTAGCCCATGAAAATTGATTTTTAGTATATATGTATGTGTATCAAGGCGTCACATGTGTTAATATTCCTTAAAAAATATAATCTGAGGAGAAGAAAAGAACAAGCTGCTGGTGAGGGATTCTTGGGAGTATCTTAGTTGGTTCTTTATTTGCTGTCAAAAGTAATTATATACTAATTGAGGTCACATTACTTTGGATAATTGACTTGCATAGTTTAAGCAACCCTTGTTTGTTTGTTCTGTTTAGTCACTTCGAGTAGTGCTCCCATAAATTAATCTACTAAAAAGAATTCATTTTAATGCAGCGTCTGCCAAGGATGCACATGCATATGTTAGATCTATTTTTGATGCCTTATCTCAACAAATTTTTATCATAATTTAGGCTTAGGATTAGCATCTTGTTCCCTGCCCAACCCTTAAAATCACACTACATTAATAGAAAGGCTGAAGATTAATTTTCAAGCATTAATTGAAATTAGGGTGTCAAAATTTGATCCTAAAAAGCCAATTCGGCTCAAATCAGAATAAAAAAATTCAGGTTCGGGTTGACCTGATTAATTTTTGAGTCAGATTCGAATATAAAGTCTCGTCACTTTATTAGTTTGATCTGCCAACACAAAATTAATTTTAAATTGACCCACCAACTCGAATTGATTCATATCGGACCAATCAACCTGAATTTGACACAAATATGAATCAAAATTAACCTGAAATTCACCACAAAGTTTAACCTTTGTTGTGTAAAACAGTATAAGAGTTGTATTTAATTTGTACAATCAAATTGAAGTTAACTATGTAATGGCGATGAGAAAAATCATCAATCAGATGAACCTATATAAAATTATTGTCTGATTTTATTTGTTTTTTTTTTTCTTTGTCCAATTTTAGTCTTATTTTCCTGTCTTTGCATAGATATCTTAGAATTTTTCACTTTATTTCCAATCAATATGCTACGCATGATCAGCCAAAGTTGGTGACTAAATTGGGTGCAAGGTCACTTCAAGGAGCAACTAAGCAATTTTTAATGGAATACATAGCAAATGACTGCTTTGCTTCCAACTACTTTGACCTTTGTCTTCTTCCTTGAGCCATGGTGAACAGCAGTTTTTCCATATCTTTCGGTGTGGGATAAATATGGGAGCAGGTAGTTAACAGCAGAATCAAGGTTTACGAAAGGTCTGCCACTTGTTTCTATCCCACTTTTGGTATTTTCCTTCTATATCCCTTTTATTTGGACTTTTCTTAGTTTTTTAATCATTTGATGAGCCTTTTGTTGGGGATTTGTTTCCATCCCATTTTTGGTATTTTCCTTCTATATCCCTTTATTTGGACTTTTGTTAGTTTTTTAATCATTTAATAAACCTGTTGTTGGGGATTAAAAAAGAATTATAACATGTTTAAGACAGTTTTATTCCATTTTGAGTTTCAGATTGTCACCACAGTTCAATTTGATTTGAAGAACTAATTTCTTGTTGTTTTTTAGAAATTCTTATGATGAGAGACTGATTTTTTTCAATTCGATTTGTTAAAGTGAGAGAGACACTTAATTGAACTTACTTTTATTCCTTAAAGTTAGAGTATTTTACATTCACCCTTTCTAGAGCTATCTTGGATGCTTGCAAGGAATATTAGTTTGGTCAGATTCTTCTCTTTAGGATGCTAATGTTCTATCATAGTATTTGTTAGAGTGGAACCAAGTTATGTCCAGTGCGGATAATTTAATTTACGTAAAAAAAAATTAATACTCAATATAAAATTAATTATTTTATTATTTTGCCCATGCAAAAAATTAAATATTTCATGATTTTACCCACACTAGAAATTAAAATCAGTTCCACCCTTACTCTTTCCTGAATGGTTTGCAAAATTTGAAAAACAATTAGTACTAGAAACTATATGCCACATTTTAAGAGCTGAGCGTGTCAATCAATATCATAAATTTTCCAAAATAATTCAATTTCATTAAAAAAATAATCATAATGCAGAACTAAAGTATAGCAATCATGTATTTATAAAATTAAGCTATCAAAGTCTTAATGCATGACATTCAATTTGATGCATCTTCAATGGGGTTGTCGTCCGATATTTAAAGCCATTTAGAAACCCATTTGTCATGGCCAATTAAGAATTCCCCGTGCCCCCAAGTTTAGGACTTCAAAAAACACCAACTTAACTGCCACAGGGACTCTTCATCCCTCCGCCATGAGAGACCTCACTTCCTGCTTCGGCGACCACGCCGTTAAAGTCTCCGACGCCTCCTGCTCCGGCAACACCAGCCACACCATCTTCCCAACCTCCGCCGCCGGCTGCCGCAGCGCCACCAGCCACATCGTTTCAACTGATCATCCTTCATTCCAAATCGCCACCACCTTCTTGTTCAAGTCGAAGCTCTCCTCCCGCATGAATCCCCTCGTCATCAACCTCACCTGGTCGAGAAACCACACCTCCACCTCCCTCTCCGTCTCCTTCCCTGAATTCCTCCATTCATGGAAGCCCACCTTTGTTACAAAGAAGAAAGGCACGCACTCCTTCATCGCCTCCTCCTCAACCATCATCCTCCACTGGGACTTCTCCGCCGCCACCTTCAGCCAAGGACCGGACCCCATTAACAACTTCTACGTCGTGGTCATAGTTAACTCCGAATTCGCTCTGCTTCTCGGTGACCAAATTCAGAACTTTCTTCAGAAATTCTCCCAAAAATTCCAACTTGCAGAATTCTCCATGATTTGCAGGAAGGAACAAGTGGTTGGCCGAACGCTGTATTCAATATCCAGAGCTCGGTTCGGTGATGGGGAAAAACTGGAACATGAGATCACCATCAGAAGCAGAGGCGGCGCGGGATTAGACGACGGTAAAGGCGCCGAGCTCTTGATTTTTGTAGATAAAAAGCAAGTGGTTCATGTGACTAAACTGAACTGGAATTTTAGAGGAAATCAAACCATTTTCATCGATGGCTCGCCTGTGGATGTGATGTGGGATATGCATGGATGGTGGTTCAGCGGCATGGTGGGGCAATCTGTGTTCATGTTCAAGAAGAGGAGCTCGCTGGAGAGCAGATTGTCGTTGGAAGAACAGGGGACTGTTGGTTTCTCTCTGCTTATACATGCTTTCAAGTCGCCATAATTGCCGTAATCTTCTCTCTGTTTTTTCCTTTCTTTCTTAAGATTAATTATTTTGAATGGATGATGGAATTTGGTTTGATGCTCTATTAGATCTGGATTAGAGGCAGTGTTTCTTTGAATGACAAAAGGTTTCATAGATTGGACAAATTAAGACTTCTGTTTTGTAATTTTCTTACTTTTCGTTCTTGTTCTTATTGATCTTCAAGTTTGTGATACAATTTTTTTTTTTATTTTTTTTTTAATTTTCTTCGGTCTTCTTAAATCTAATAAACAAAATTGGTTTGGTTGATTAAGTTGGATGCTTGGAATATTAATAAAAATGGTTAGGTTGTAAAGAAAAAAAAAATTTTTTTATTAAAAAAAAAAAAATTTTCAAATGTTTTGTACCTTAAGTTGAAATTAAAATGTTTTTTTTTTTAAATCATGAGAAAAAATGTCATTATATTGTACTTTTGATTGAACATGTACCTTTTTTTTAGATCATTTTTCTTGCATCATTACTTGATGATTCTTATTTTTTATTTTTTGCTGCAATTTTCTTCCGTTTAACAAAAAACAAAATGTTTATTTGATTATGTTGGAGTAGTCTTGGAATATTAATGACATAATGATTTAGGTTGAGGAAGAGCTTATTGTCAAAATTGTAAATACATAAAAAATCCTAAAATCCACTTTTAAAAACATCTAAAATAATACTTGAAAATAATTAATATTTTAATAATATTATTAAAATGAATTAAGAATGTCCCTTTTTTTCTTATAAAAAAAAAAAAAAAAAAAAAAAAGCTTTGTTCTTCCAATATGAAAAGCAGGATCCACCTTTTGTTTCTCGTGAATATATCTGGAGCTGACAAAGCTGATTTTTCTGTTCCCTCCCCTTCCTTCTTATCCTTCCCTATCCTGCTCTGAAGGCCAACCATCTTCATCATTTTTTACCAAATCTCAATTCAGATCTTAATAATATACATTTAATTGCTGATCATTTCATTAAATATAACTTAAATATTTTATTATATTTAAGCTATCATAATTTTTTTTTGAAAATTTACATGCATACCACCTAATTCCTTGGTGTTTACAAATCCAACACCCAAACTTCATGTGACCTGATTAACTATGCATGAAAAGTTGTATCACACTTTTTAAAAGTTAAAAGTTGTGGTTTTTCTTTTTTTAATGTGATATGAAAGATAAACGTAAAAAATGAAGTTTAGGTGTTAGATATGTAAATACATAGGAATTGGGTGGTATGTGTGTAAATCCCTCATTTTTTTCATGTACATAGAAAGAGAGTAGTCATTATGTTATATCCGAGAAATCATGATTATGATTATGATTATGATTCCTCATAATTGATGCCCAACAGCCACCTTCCATATTAAAACCAACAATTATAACCAATCAAAATCAAATTGAGGAAAGATAATTGCCGTTTCGATAAACTGCAATATTACTTACTAACCTAAGCCAGACCAAGGACAGTAATGGGAAATGAAACTTCTCCTCTAGGAATGTGATGGATGCCCATCGTACCACAACACGAAAAATTATTACATACATACATCTCATACAGAGATGCATGCGATGTCGATCCTGACCGTAAATCACGGTGATCTACGGTCATGTTGTATTTCGGTGGGTTTCACTTTATTATTTTTTTTATTGTTAAAAAAAATATTAATTGCATCCTGACCGTAGATCACCGTGATCTACGACCAGGCATGTATCTCTGCATGTGGTGTATCTAAGCAATAATTTTTTCACCACAACACAACATCTTTATTGTCAATGGCTCTATCCCTGCATCAAAAAATTACAAAATCATTCATAAAGGCTAGTTATGCAATTATCTCACGCGGCTATGTAATTATTATGCTCAACAAAAAAAAATTATGATAAAATAGAGTTATATATAAATTATTTTTAGGAGAATTTGCATTTCGCACAATTCTTATTTATTTACATATCTAACACATAAAGTTTAAAGTTTATATGTATGCAACATTATCTTTGCATGTACTTCACTTTTTAAAAATTTAATTAAAGATATTTCTTATGTGATATGAAAGATTTCAGTAGAATAAAGCATATGTGTTAGCCATATAAATTCATAGGAATTGGGTGTTACTTATGTTAATGCTCTTTAGTTTTAAGGCATTCAAATATGGGCCACACATTTCTTAGATATTTACATATCTAACACCTAAGCTTTTCATATTTGCATGCATAGCATTCAAATCCTTAACATCACATAAAAAAATATAACTATCATGTGTATGGCGCCACCCACAGCTGCTTCTTCCAATAAACTATTATATTTTCATCTTGAGAGTTGATTGATAAAAAAAATCATGATGGCATTCTTAAATACAAATGCAATGGTGAGTGAGGGCAGAGTCAAATAAACCAACTCAAATGAGAAATATGTGCTGCATATGAAGAAATGTAGGGAAGCATTGAGTCAAGTTAAGCTGATTTAATGGCTGATGAATCAAACTTGATGAGCAATTAAGCCAAGCTGTAGACAATCCTAACTTGTTTGCTCCTGAAATTAATAATTTGCTTAAAAAATGTATTATATAAAACACTTTAAAAAACCATTATTATTATTATTATTTTGCCCCGGAATGTTATTTTGTGCTATCATTTTAGTTCTGATCCAATCAATTTACTTATCTTTCAGCAGTTGTCTCAATTGACAATTACTTATGTAACAAAATTTGACATTATTTATTCATATTATTAATTACTTGTAATTTTTATTTGTGTTGAGAAATTAGGGCGAAGAAAAATAAGGGGTTATTTATAAAAAAAAAAAGATTTGTGGCCCAACCCACATTGGTGCATAAGAAACTGTATGATATATTTCTCCTGAAGGGCTGGATATTCGTCAAGGTGGAGATTTATTGGGTATATGCATTTCTCCTAAAGTGGTTGGATATTCACCAAGGTAGAGATTTGTTAAATATGACTCATAATGCCAGAATTTGGAGTCTCTTGGAATGAAGAGATGTCTCTTGGAATTGAAGAGTTGTGTCTCTTGGAGTTTAGTGGGTTGGGGGGATCAACGAGGGCGCAGCGGAAGCGTGGTGGCCCAACCCAATATTTGTGCATAAGAAACTCCATAATATATTTCTCCTAAGGGGTTGGATATTCGCCAAGGTGGAGATTTGTTGGGTATATGTATTTCTTCTGAGGGGTTGGATATTCACCAATGTGAAGATTTGTTAGGTATGGCTCATATATCATAAATGGGACAGATGCTGGAAGTCATTGATTTGCAAATAACAAGTTTTTGGTTGCCAGCTCTACTCTTTTTAATTGTGTTTTAATGATGATTCTTGCATTTTCTTTGCCTTAATTCTTCAACACTGGTATCTTGGTTAAAAAATAGATTGTTTAAAGGCCGCTCTCTCAAAATTTGCAGCTTTTGTGTGGAAAATTTTGGGGAGAAGAAGCTCCCTCACATATTAAATAGTTGTTTATGCTATAATGGGTTTCTTGTGGGTTCTCTCTAGTGGATTTACTCAATGACTTATTTTCATTTACTTTCAGCTTTGTGATGGCTGATTTAGAGAGTTGTGCTTTGTTCTCATTGCTGCAACAAATATATGAAATCACAACAAAAAACAGGGGCATTATCTACATATCACCAAAATATTTTTTATTTATATATTTAATATCTAAATTTTATTTTTAACATGTATAAAAACCAATTTTTTTGTCTCATAAAAAATACCATAATTATTTTTAAAGAATGAAAAACATTTTAATTTTTTTTTAAAAAAATGAAAAACATAAGAATTGCAGTTTAGATATTAGAAATGTAAATACATTGGAATTGAGTGGCATATATATAAATCCTCCTAAATAAAATCTCAATTTTAGCTAATAATTTACTATTTTTTTTCCTTAAAAAAGATGTTAACATACATACCACACAATTCCCATATATTTACATATGTTACATCAAAAATTTGATATTTATAGATATATAACACTAGGACTTTAATATAGCAACAAAAATATCATTACTTCTAACTTTTAAGAAATAAAATATACATTTTCATACATAAATTTATGACATCAAGATATAAATGTAAACATCTAATTTAAGTGTTAGACTTTTTGTGTGATAGGCATGTAAACTTCTCTTAATATTCTCTTGCCAATGGTTTACAATGTTGGCCTTTCATCAATCAACTTGACATGTGTAATCTATTCTACTTTACAAAAAATACACAAGACACATTTTGCATAACACACTGAATATTTCCACATCATGTTAAACGGCAAACAAAAAAAATTATGATTCTCACAAATTATTTATTTATTTAACAATTTTATAAAGCATCTTGTCATTTTTGTGCAAAAATTCATGTGAAAGATGGTTCCTCAGCTCATCCTATCCTCCATTCTTCACTCATGAGTTCTACCTTCCCTATATAAATAAATTATCTACCCATTTCTCAACATAATCCCATCCACCTCATTGCATGGATACTCGCATGGATACTCCGGAGTATATTATATCCGGCCATATAAAATCTCTTATCTATGCCTTCATCATTTTTGCTCTTCTCAAGATGTTGGATCAATATCTCCTCCTCTACTCTTTAGTGCCTCCTTAAGGGTGCATTTGAGGCAGCTTGTGTTTATCCAGATAAGTAGTTTATCCTGAAACAAAGCCCGCGGGTAACTTGCAGGATTCGGCCCGCAGGTGACCTTCAAGATTCTACCCTCGGCATGCGTTTAGTGTAAAAATCCAACCGCATTTTCGGATAAGCTGTCGAAACTTGTTTTCCAAACGGCCGCACTCATAAGCAGCCCCCAAACGGGCCCTAAGTTCAACAAGCACCAAATATCTCATTTTTCCCCTCAATTTGGCAAAGTATCCTAAGCCAAAAGCTCGCCCTTTTTGTCCCCTCTAGGACACCATCCCCTTCCCGGGGGCTATGCGGCAACTCTCATATGGGAAAAAAAATTAGTTTTAGCCATTTAAACCAAAGTGCGGGCACCAAGTTAAAGATTGTGCCTCCTGGCTTAAATATATCTCACGAATGATTTGCTTTGAACATTGTATATCCACAACTCCGAAAAGGTGAGTCCGACCTGCGGGCTTTCTAAAAATTTGAAAAATAACTGTCATTTCTTTAATCATTTTTTTCACCAGAAAGTGACGACATCGCTCTTAACTTAGCTAACTGAGTGGGGAAAAAAATACATGTGCATTTTAGGATAAACATATAGAATGGTTTGCAAATAAGAAAATTCCACATACTTGAGATACATCACAGATATGTAAATACATAAGAGACGTCTGGTCTGTATGTAAATTTCCCTAAAAACAAAGTTACATTTTACAAATATGTAGAGAATTGAATCACTGCAATGCTACAATTTTACCAGATTAAAAAAGAAAAATGTGAGATCAACTGGTTTGATTAAGGCCGAAAGTTCATGAAAAAAAAAAGTGTTTGATTAAGCGAAAATACTGACTTGATAGGTGAATTAATTAATCACCACTGGCACAGCCCCCACAACCACAATGTACACATTCTATAACCTTTTCCTCTCTCAAGTGCTTTGGTACTCTACATACACAAGTTGTTCCAAAATTGTGGTCTCTTGGTTGAATGCATCTAAGACAGCAAAGCCTCTCATAACCAGGCTGCAAAATAAATAAATAAATAAATAAAGTTAGAATGCATATATTTGACAAGTAAGAAAAAAGCATAAAAAAGGATAGGGAATTAAACTAATAAAACAAAACAGGTTTAATAGAAGTGGGCGGTACATTTTTAAATTTGATCTAATACAATTGGCGTAATCCGATTAAAGAAACTCTCATAAGAAAGAAAGACAATATCAATTCCGTGAACAACAGAGCCACTATTCTTTCTTTAACATAAGTCAAATCCAGAACACCTACTAGCCTAATCGGGTCATTAGATAGTCGAAGTTTAATGTGACTCCACCATCTAAGGCTACTCTCTCTAACCTTGTCTGACACTTGTACAACTCTAACCCTATCACAAAAATATTTTTTCGCATTTCATCTCTAAGTGCAAAGTCACCCATCCAAATGAGTTTTCTCATCTCAGCAACATTTTTGCAAGATGAGAATGCCCATCTACACAGAATCAATTCAAATTAAATCAACCAAATATTATTTTTGCAAGATAAAATCTACTCAAACATCATTTCAAAAAAATCAATGAATTTGCCAGTTTATAAAGTAGCCAGAATTTGCCAAAGGCTAAGTTAAATATGGTGCATAGCATTGAGTTAATCATCTTGAACAAAAAATGTGGGACTACCAATAGGGCCTAGCTAGTTAATAACATATATGAGCTAAGCCAATCAGCATAAAGCAAATGAGTAAAGTGCCAAAATAGTCCCCTGCCAATTTACAAAAGACCATTTTAGCCACAGAGTTTATAAAAGTGTTATCAATCCCCAAACTATTTTAATGGGAGCCAAAATAGTCCTCAATAGGGGTGATTTCGACCCATATTAAAAGAGCCTAGGAACTATAGTGACACTTTAATAAATTTTGAGACTAAAATGACCCCTTGAAAAAAGTCAAAGGACCATTTTGACACTTTTCTCTATAGCAAAGATTCACAAATAGGTGAGATAAAGCAAATTTACGCATTCGCATCTAAATGGGTAATGCAAAATTGTTATTGTAAGCCCTAATTCCAGAAAAAAAAAAGAAGAAGCTAGTAGAACATGCATTGAGACCTACCTAAACGCATGGTTTCAAAATGCTTAGGAGCATTAGTCAGCTTTACTCTTTTGGGTTGCATGTAGAGCCAACGTGGTTAAAATTGAAAGACACTTTGTAGGCATGCTCCCAGTGGGCAGCAAGAATAGTTATACATAACCTATAAAATTCATTAGTCTATTCTGGGCAGGCTAGCATTGACTCTAGCAATGTGATATTCTAAGTCCTATAGCCATCTATGTTGCTTGGTTGTGCTGCCTGTACACATCTATCACCTTGGAGTGACAATACTCTATCGCAATGTGATATTCTAAGTCCGGCCTTTAGAACATCCTCTAGTTTAGCCTTAATTTGTCACATAACTATAAAACGAACATTCAAATATTAATCAACAACAATCCTACTAAGTGGGGTTGGCGACATGAATCCTTTTCTCCATTGTTTCCTATTGAGTATCATATTTTCATTAATTCTGATATATTAAAATCATTTTTTATACAATATGCCCAAATCTTTTTAAGTCTACCTCTGCTTTTCTTAATATCATTCAAATCTAAAACATCTACTCTCCTACTTGAATCATCAGATGGTCGACGTTCAATGTGACCAAACCATCTAAAACGACTCTATCTAATATTTTCTGCCACTGGATCTACATACCAACCTTATTACGGATATATTCATTTTGCATTTTGTCTCTAAATGTCAAGCAACATTGCATTTTGTCTCTAAATGCACCTAAGCATTCTCATCTCAGCATTCTCATCTCAGCAACTCTTAACTTTGTTTTATGCTTCTCTTTTAAAGGCCAACATTCTGCATCATAGAGCATTGCAGGTCTCACCACCATCTTATAATTTTCTTTTCAGTCTAAGCGGTACATTTTATAATTTTCTTTTCAATCTAAGCGATACATTTTTATCACACAAATGGCTCAATACATTCCTCCACTTCAACCAACCAACATGAATTCTATCAATAGCATCCCCATCTAAATCACCATCATTTTGAACAATAGACCCGAGATATCTTAAACATTCACATCTTTTAATGATTTGATCACTCATAGTTACAACTCTGCCATTAGAGCTACTACATTTTATTATTAATCACATTAAATTATATATATGTTTAACTAACCCATAAGGGTTGTAAATTCTTTAACTAATCTATAATGCACTGTATCTTACAAATTACTTAATTGCATTTGCCTTTGGGCTGCCGCATAATATTTCTTTAAGCCAAGCTTCAAGACTCATTAGTCAATGACCCTAATAAAGAGTTTTCTCGAGTATACTTATATTCAGAATGTAATTAACCAAACATGCTTACTCTTGAGAGATATCTTGATTCCATAGAAATTAAATAAATTTCATTTAATCCATCCATGTTATTCAAGAAACATCACTAATAAACAATTAATCCACCTTCCATTAATTCATTCGGGTTTGAAGAATGTGTTTGCTGTTGATAATTAACCTAGTATTATAAATCACAAAGCATACTTTAAAACAACAATGCGTTCATTAGAAATATCTAACAGTTTCATTAAATGCAATTATAGAACATAATTGCCTCAATTATGTAAACATGCTATCACACATTCTTGGTCAGTCTACCTAAAGTTAGAGATACAAATGTATTCAACGAAAATTCATCCGTATGAATGTAATACCAAAGATCAAACTAAAGCAACTCAGGAACAGTAAGATAGAACCACCTATTTACATATTTCACGTTAGTTTTATGAGCTGCAATGTTCTCTCTGGTCTTTCATTAATTTGGCCATTAAAAGTTTTGGGTGGAGCTGTGAATTTTTGGCATATAGTGGAGGCTTAAGCGGTTCCACCTGACTAGTGTTATTTTCAAGACCAATAAAGGCCAATACTAGAGGATCATAGTACAACATCCATAAGCTTTTAATAACAAAATGACATTTGAAATGAAAACATATAACTAAACCCTCACATTTTGAATGGAATCATGCAAGACATTAAAAAAAACTGGAGATATAAATTACAGAAGGATCAACAAATAAAAGGAAATTTAATTTTGCTTTTTTGCTGGAATAATAAAAATATCAGACATTTATAACTTAGCTGCATTTTTTTATTTGAATCCTCAAAATCATCTTTCATATTTTATAGCACTGTAGCACTAATTAACAAAATTAGTTAGTATAAAACATGATATTTGATATAGATTTTCCATACAATTTAAGCAGAAAGAAGCGTTTACATTCTTTTCTAATACCCACTTTTGGAAAATATGCCACAAATATGATAAATACTATTCATTTTGTGACAAATCAGAAAAAAAATTACCACAATCAAGAGTGTAGTTCAGAAATTAAAAATAATAATTACAGTAAAGCACAAACCAGAATTGGAGACAGACCTTTTTCCATTTTGCAACTAAATTACGATCTGCATATCCCTGGTCCAGGCAGAATTCATATAAGTCTTTTGATATTTCCTTCCTTCGATAATATAGATCATATATGTATCGACTCTTTTGATGTGAAATTTTGAAAATTGGCCACAACGCTTCACATTTTCTCTTCCCATCATGAGGATCATTTTCAGCTGCCAAAAAAGAAAAAAAAAGTATAAGTAGAAAGCAGATAATACATAGTTTTTTCATAATACATGGTATCAATCAAAAAGCTCTCAGTTGGTTCAAAGACTGGATGTCTTAAAACTATGCAGTACCTTCTCTCATTTTTCCCTCGAGCTCGCGTAAAGTTGGCTCAATAAGTTCCCACCCTTCAGGATATTTGACCCGATTTGTTTTTACTTTGGGCATTTTCACAAGTGTATTAAATTCCTTCAACAGCAACAGATCCAAACCTGCATGCTTAAACAGATAAAAAAAACAAACAAAAGAGACAACTGAAGCTGAGAGATAGATGATCATTGTTGGAAAATGATAATTAAGTGGAATTACCATAATAATGGAGCGTATGCAATTATAGAAGCCTGATTAAGTTTAACAAATGAACGGCATGTGGAAAATCCAGCATGCCATTTCAAGACAAACAATAATATTGGTAAATAAAAAAAAAAAAGTGAAATAAAAATAAAAGATGCTTCCTGACAAAGAAAGCTGGAGAAAAAAGTTAAAATAAGGCTAATAATCATCAGGTCGGCTTAATTAAATCTCACATTTTATTTATTCAAGCTAAATTCTTCATTAGGCAATAAATATATTTTATGGCAAACATTTTAAACAAGCTCTATCCATGTTATGTTAGGCCTACATGGATATATCTTATTGCATAATACTTTTGAGATACTTCTCCATTTTAAACACCAAACTTACCTCTAAAAGTTAAAACCTCATCTAGCTCTTCAGTCAGCTATATATATGATCCAGTATGCTTAGATCTAATGCAATTAAGTTCATCTTCTCTTCTAATATTATTGACTCATAATGGTTCTTTATATATATTAAAACTACATATCATATATCAAAATTTACTCTACTAATTATAAGGTTTTTCTTCAAAACATGCTCTCTATTCCTTAAACATTTAACTCATTTCAACATATATCACACTAAATAGAACTATCATTTGTAAATAAAATATACAAAGCATCTCACTTTGAATATTCCCTATAAGCATCTTCATAACAAACATAAAATATATTGCCTCAATAATTATCCTTGATGTAATCCTGCTAAAATTATAACAGCTTAACCACTCCACAACGACAAGTAAAACTAGTCGTGCAAGTATTCCATCATACACTGATTAAGAACTTCATCATACATTTACACACTATTTTAATCCTTGTGGTTCACCGAATTAATTCTCATTATACTGCTGAAAGTAAAATTAATACCTTATAGGTGACAAAAATATCTTTCAAAAAATTAAATAGGTGCCCAAACTATATTTCAAAAAGATTAAGTTTTTTTAAAATATTTTTTATTATTTTTTTTTTTTTTTTTTGTGGCATGTTCAACACGTTTAGTTCTCTATAAGAGGATTTGGATTCAAACCTATCAAACTTCCTTATCCTCTAATTGAACAAAGGCCACACAATAACCAAAATTTAAATGGGAAGTTTAATAGAACATAGAAAATAGACTAATAATTGATAAAGATAATGCAACACAACAAAAAATACAAAGCAAAGAAATAAACTGATGTAACACCCCAAATATTTTAGCATAGTTTCCCATGCAAACTATCAAGGCTTCGATACACCAAAGAAATTTGCTTGAAAACTAGAAATTCCGATAAACCTAATCTAAAATCAAATGGACAAAAATTAAATTCACAAGCATCTCAAAACAAAACAATGAACTGCAAGCTACGGTTTATAGAAATGAAGGTTAAATGCCCTAGCACGGGGCAACAATTAAGTTATAAATGAATATTAGCAACTCAGCTTATTAGTTTATGGTGGTCCAATAAACATGGTGAAGATGATTAAACAATAAGGAAAAACTAAGTTAAAAATGAGATGAGATAGCAACATACCTCGTAACTCGCTAGGGAAAAATAAAGGCGGATGTAAGAGAGAAGGAGGCTCACCTTCCTGAACTCGTAGACCTAATAAGATAACAGGCGAAGGCCGCCAAGAAAGTTATTTGCTTTGCTGAAACTTCCAAAACTCGGTTTCAATCAAAAAAACTAAAAGAGATTTAAGAAAATTTAAGCTAAGAGGCCAACCTGAAGATAAATATGAAATATGAGAGCAAAAAATACTCAAAGAAAACACCTCGATGGCCGAACAAGCAACCAAGAAAGAATATCGAGCAACCAAGCAAAAATACCGAGTAGTCGAGCCAACGCCGACTAGTCGAGGACAAAGAGACTATATCGACGGCAAATAGAAGTAGAGATTAGAGAACGAACACAAACGTCGAACCCTAAGCTGTCGCAGCTGCAAGCCTTTCGCGATTTTGAGAGGAGGAAGAGGCAGACGCTGCTTAGGTTAGGGCTTAGGAATTTTTTCATAATATAGTATATTCTTATAATTATATTACTTATATTATATAAATATATAATATCTTTATAACTAATATTAATATATTATTAATATTAATTTATTATATAATATAATTTTTAAATATTTTTAAAATATGATAAATTCTTATTTAAAAAACGTTAATTAATAAAAATTTATAATATTTAATTTTATGAATATGTATTTAATTTATAATTATTTTTAGTCTATAGTTATAATTTTTTATATATAATTATTTATAATTATTCTATGATTCGAACAATGACTGCTCAAATACAACGAACACAAGCATGTTCGTGTTTGGTTTGTTTTATAAATCGAACCAAAAAAAATTGTTCGTTTTCGTCTTATTTGTCTATCAAACTAATCAAACAAACACTCTTTGGCGAGTCAAACATTAATTGTTCGCAAACGATGAGTTTCTTTGACATTAGGAGGTTTATGGTTGATATTTACATAAATATCATATAGTTTTTATGTATTTATATAACTAAATGTTATATGATCTAAATTTTTCATATTACATAAAAAATATTATTATTATTTAAATTTAACAGAAAAAGTATTGTAGAGTTAGGTTCGGAATGAAATATTCGGTTATGTTGCTGAAATATTTCATCTGCGTTATCTGTCAAAATGATGTGCTATTCGATTATTTTGCAGTGTTATTGGAATATTCATTGTGTTACTTGATTTGTGGCCGAAATGTTATTGGAATATTCCTCCACAATATTTGATTTGAGGCTGTATTATTCCAATAACATAATAAAAATTTAAATAACATGGGGAACATGTCGAATAACATAGCCCCAAATCAATTAATGCAGATGAATATTTCAATAACACTACAAAATAATCGAATAACACCATAGAATATTCGAATAACACTTCATTTTTACAAATAATACAGATGGAATATTCCAGTAACACAGTCAGATATTACAATCTGAACTTAGTTCTACGTTAGGACTCCTGATGTAATATTTTTCCGAAGTTAAGGGTGTGTTTGGGACAACTTTTTGATCGAAATTCTGAAATTCATCCCCTCCCACAGTTTTTGATTGGCACGTCCAACGGATCGTCGTTTAACCACCTCCTCCTCCCAAATTGTCAAAATAATGAGAATTAAATGGTCTGTATAATTATTTCTAAACACCGAGACATTAATTTCAGAGATATTTTTTTATCTTATAAATTTCGGCACATTTTTTCAAAATTTTTTGATCGAAAATGCGTTCATGCGTATAAACATTCAGAATTTTCATGATAAATCAATATTTAATATATTTTATTAGATTGTAAAATCTAAAATGCAAAATTAAAATGGTTGAAATAAAGAAAAAATATTTAAGAAAATTTGACTGAAAAAAATACTTTTAAATTTATTTTAATTTTTTTTATTTTGTTCTATGAGTTTATATATCTAACACTAAACATTCATATTTACATGCATATCACTCAAATCTCTTAACAGAGACGTATTTCAAGTGTTTATTTACGGACAACACTTTTAAAACTGAATTTTTTAAACATAAAATAATAGATTTTCTACAATAACTTTTAAACTGAGATCAAATATTGTCATGGTTGAAACAAACCAAAATTTGAAACAAAGTGACTCGGGAGTAGGGGTGTAAACGAGCCGAACACGTGCGAGCCTAGGCTCAGCCCGTGTTTGGTTGTTTATATTTCGAGCTCAAAAAGTGGGTTCGTGTTCGGCTCGGCGGTCGCGGAGCGGGAGCCACTCACGAACAAAGAGTTGTTTTGACAACCTTAATCACGCAGTCATAAGATGTTAAGGATTGGGGTAAGATTTTAAACATCACTTGAATCTAATTTAATATTTTTTATTCTATTTGCTTCATTAATACTTCTAATTAATTATAATTTTTTGTAGCCTTGTAGTCAATTAATTTTTTTAAAAATACTACTCATCAAAGATTCATATATAATTGATTAGTAGTACATGAACGAACAAATATTCGTTCGCGTTGTTTGTGTTCGGCTCCTTAACTTAGCGAACGAGCCGAACACGAGTTGTTCGCGAACAACAAGCCGTTTTGACAGCCCTACTCGGGAGATCTCTAGTGGTGATGATAATATGAGAGTGATGTCATAAATTCTTAGTCATTTAAACCATTTTTCATTCTTAAAATATATATATTTTTTTTTTTTGCTGACTATTTTAATTTTCTATTAAACCTATCAAAATCATTCAAAGTGAATTTATTTGTTGGAATGTGAATATTCATTCATTTATTTTGGAATATAGTTTGTTCCGAAGCTTCTTCGATTTTTTTTGCGACATTTTATGATATTGTTATTTGCACTTTACAGTGATAATTCTTATGTGTTATAGATTGAGTTGCCTTTGATACGTTCCAAAAAAATCAAATTGGTTCGCATGGATCTCGACGCATATTTTGATCGAAAGTTTCAAAATTCAAATTTGATAGTGCCCACGCTCTAATTTATGATCAAATATCTCTGTGAGACAAACTGAATGATATGAAAAATGGGTTGATCTAAGTTCTATTGGGCCCAAATCATCTACTGGACGAGATGAATCCAACAAACCTAATATCACATAATTTTGACATCATTAAAGTTTCAAAACCTCATAAAACTATTTTTGATCAAGAGAATCACTTTGGGTCGTCCGATGAAATGGTCTGGATCCGTGCAATATTTACTGATGATTTTACTTTTAAAATCTATGAATCTTTCCATGAAAGGGGGCCTAGACATGGATGAGAAGACTAAATGGATCTCTGAGCTTTTGAAGATTCCTAAGCTCCACCAATGTTAGGCAACCTTTGTCAAGCTATTGATGGACCATCGTTGTCTGAATGTCGCCACAACTACTGTTGTCGCTAGTCCACTACTACCTGGCCGCCGCCGTAAAACAACTATTGTCTAGCTGTCGTTGTCGTCGGACCATTATTGCTTGTCACAACCATCGCCACCATTGAACAATAGTTCCATAGCAGCCACTACTATCGTCAGACTAATGTAGCCTTGCCACCACTGTCGTCACCATTGTACCACTCGCGACACCACAATAAGACCACTATTACCTAATCAATGTCGAACCACCACTATCATCATCAAACCACTACTCTCGGACCACCATCTTGAAACACTCGGATCATCTTCTCTTGGTTTTTGTTATGTTGGATCACTGACGCCCGACAACCACCATTATTGTGTTATAAGATCACCATCACCAAATCATATATCAATCGCCATTGTACCATATCATCATTGCCAGATCGCTACTATGTCGGGTCACCATTGTTTGATTTTCACCATTGTTGTTAGCAAATCATCATCTACTGGCCACTATCGTCGCCATCATGGTACATCGTTGTTTTTAAATTATTATCTTAATTGGATGGGAGGTTGTAAAAAAATTATTCTTCCACATTATATGTACATAATGGAAAGAAACAATTAGTAATTATTCATTATTTTTAAGTAAACCATACCTAAGGTTGTACTCGAGCTGAGGAGAGTCAAGTATGTTATGGAATGGACTTGACTTCGTCGAATCAAAAGCTATTCATATTCAGCTCAAGCTTGTGTTGAGTTTTACAATATGTCATACTGTGCTTGCTCAAATCTATAATGATTATATTTATTTTTTACTCTGTTTATTTATATTAATTGAATAAGCTAAAAATATAAATTTAAATGACATTATAATTTTTTAATATAAAATATAAATTTGATTAGTATTTGATTTTTCAAATAAATTTAGCAAACAAGTTAAAAAATTTGAATGAATACTTAATTTGTATATAAAATTATTAAAAAATCATTTTACAAATCTAAATGAATAAGTTAATATCTAATTAACTTATTTAAAAAAATAATATAAATGTATGTTATAAGTTAGCTTTCTTATAATCCAATACATAAAATAAATAATAACTACATTGAAATAAAAAAAAAATACATTAAATTGATATACAAATTAATATTAAATTATAATATATTACTATTAAATTTATAATTAAGTAAGTTATGATTAATAAAACTTTATTTAAATTATATATCATATAAATATAAAATATTTAATAAGTAGTTGAATATCAAATAAAGTTATTCATGAACAGTAATGAATGAATTGGATCCATTCAAATTTTATTAATTTAACCTTTGAGATTTAAATAACTTGTTTGATTTTTCATATAAATTCAGTAAAAAATGAGATCTGTAAATGAATACTTAATTATTATATAACATTATTAACACATAATTTTACAGATCTTAATAAATAAATTAACATCTAACTAATTTATAACAACTAAATAAAATAATATATAAGTTATAAATCAATTTTCTTGTAATCAAATACATCAATAAATGCTAACTACATTGAAATAAAAAAAAAAACATTAAAATTTAATACATACTAATATTAAATTATAATATATTACTATTAATTATATAATCAAATAACCAATAATTAATAAATTTTATTGAAATAATATAACTTAGAGATAAAAAAAAGTTATAAATATTTGTATTGCAGAGTATTACATTTTTTTTACGTCTTAAATCTTCAATGAAGTTCAATGCATTGCACTAGAATTAAAATACTGCTAAAGAAAATGTTGTTTGGATCAATTTAAACGTCTACAAATGGAAAAAATATTACATCAGGACTCCGCACGTAGAGTTACGTGTGGAATCCAATGAAATTAAAATGTAGAGGTGATCGACCCGGTAACATAAAGAATATTCCCCTCGTGTTATTCAGATGTTATTGTGTGTTATTCAGGTGTTATTGTGTGTTATTCAAGTATTATTGATGTGTTATTATGTTATTATAACACCGAAAATATTCCCAAAACACAATAACACATGAATAACATATAATAACACCTTAATAATACGTAATAATATGAGGAAAATATTCCCTGTTTTACTGGGCCGATCACTTTCACGGCGTAATTTCATTAGACTCCGCTTTGCACGTAACTCTACGTGCAGAGTCCTGATGTAATATTTTTTCCTACAGATGAGAGAAATAACCCTAAACGCACTGTCCGATTACCACAATAATCTAAATTCCTTCACAGACCCTTATTTAGCTTACTGAAATTGGAAGGCTTACATTCATATGTATTTACATATCTGGCACCTAAAATTCATTTTTAACATACATGCCCCTTTCCCATACACGAACAGATACACCTTAATATAATATGAAAGATTCAGGTGGTATAAACACAAATGTATAATAATTGTGTGCTATGTAGCTAAATTCCCCAAAATCATTGCACAATTGAAAATTTTGACAGTATTATTAAATCAATATGAAGATTGACATAATATGGACATCAATCAAATTGACCAACATCATAGCCGGTCTTTCAGATCTCATAGTTCACATTGGGAGTTTATCTTTGAAGCCCTCAACTTGTTGGGGGAACACAAACCCCATAAAAATGAGTTGAAACAGTAAAAGCAAATAAATCTTTGAGAAATCTCCCTCTGATCTTCCCAAAGTTTCAATTTTTCCTTTGAGAGATCCCCCGACTCAATGATTCCACCCTTTTCCTGCACATAATAATAATAATGATAATAATAATGAAGATTAACATACATAAAATTCAATTCCCATATATTTACATATTTAATACCTTAACTTCATGTTTTACATACATACTACCTTATTCATGCACGAAAAAGAGTTAGCTGCAAGTAGGATTTAGCGTTAATGGGATTCTGTAAATCCGATAAATCGTAAATCCGTTAAATCCAACCTCCCCCGTGGATTTAATTATTCTGGATTCAAGCCAAATAGAAGGAAGAGTTTCGGCGCTTAAATCCAAAAATTCGAGGAACACTTGCATTTTTGCGTTTGGTTGTATTGCATAAATGCGATGATAAATCCTATTCAAAGGTGCTACCTAACACCCCGTAAAGTTAAAATGGTGATATTTTCAATGTGATATGAAAGATTTGAGTGGCATAAATGCAATGAAGAGTTAGACATGTAAATACATAGGATTAGAGTCACTAAAAAATACATATGTAAATGCCTAATAATAAATAAATAAATAAAGAATTACAAATATTTTAGAGAGAAAAAAAAAAACATAGGATTGGAGTCACTAATCAAGAGAGGACCACCTTTCATTTCCATCGCATCCTATTTAGTGTCAATAGAGAGTATTCTTTCCATTATATAACATCCAAATAACAAGTCAACAACATTATCTTCATCCCATAAAATAAATTGGCATACATGACAGTGAAAACTAGCTGATATTGAGTGCCCCCTTAAACAAATAAAAAATTGTCAAATCTGTCCTAAAATGATTTGATCATGAGCATGTAAGTATAACAATTTCATGAATCATGAGCAATAATAAATAGAAGAAGACTTACTACTTGGTAAATTTATGAAAAACATCATCTTGATCTGCATTAACATATGCAATACAATTACAAGAACTGACTTTAAAATAATAGGAGATGATCTCAGCAAATTTGATTTCATATAATTACAACATCTTAATTTTTTTAATGGCAGTATTTAATATTAATAGGAGAATGCAATTGTGTGATCTAGGTGAGGGGAAATATTATATTTTTCCCTCTGACTTCAAAATAATTATACCTTAAAGCCCCCCCCCCCCCCCCCCCCCCGAACTTGGTTTTTCAGCCTTTGTGGCCGAAAACGGAAGCAAGGAGTTGAAGATTGCCAAGGCACAAAACTTCCCAAACATCATATGGAAGCATACAAAAAAAGAAAAATATCTAATGTAAGCTCAACCGGCATAAAAAGCTCAACATGACATGTACAAATGTGCATGCGCATTCCACAAATGGATGGTTTTGGAGAGGAAAGACTAAAAGAAGGATGGAAGAAAGCCCTATGATCCTAGAGTATCATCAACAAGTGAGAGAATGTGCTTCAACTCTAACATAGAATATCTCGGTGTCCACAAGAAAGACCTCCAAATCAAGACCATGCGCATGCTGTCGAGGAAACCATTAAAGAGATTCAAAATCGCAATAAGGCCAAAAAAACTAGTCAATTCAAATGATAATGAAAAAAGTAAGATTTCCCTCATCTATGATACTAATTTGAGAACCAAGAAGTCAAAAGGTAAGGCAAGATCCAGAAAGTTGAAATCCACTTGGGCTAGCAACATGGGCAAGTTACTCGGGTGAACTCCACATTGAGCTATCAGATCATTTAGGTGGTTGCTGTAGCTATTACAAACATACCAGAAGCCAAAATGGGGACAAAAAAGATACAAGTAATAAAGAGACATTGCTTTTTCTGATTTGATTGGCATGATAGAGTAGAGATGACTATATTGCTGAGAGTGAACTTCAAACTAACACGAAGCACGTAGATGGATACAAGGAGTATCAGCTCCAAGACTAATTTAATATATCATAAGCAAGGAGCACGTCATCATGTTAAGTGACTGCCTTAAAGAGCGGGTTACCACCCTCCTTATCAAAAGGGGCAAGACCCTTCCTTTTTCCTTTGATACCAATCTCTCATTTTGAATGAAAATTTTGGCTCAACGCCGCCGTTATTCCTATGCCGGATGCAACACACTCCACCTCTAATAGTTGGTTGAAATCCGGAAATGTTAGAATTGGCACCTGAGTCATCTTCTCTTTCAGGATGTCAACGCTAGTTTGAGCTATAAATGTCCAAGTAAACTCCTTTTCTTCCAAAAGCTCTATCAGAGGGGCAGTAATAGTGCTGAAGTTTCTGATGAATCGCCTGTAAAATAATGCTAGCCTCAAAAATTGTCTTTGCTCAATAAACATTTGCGGTGCAATTTAGCTCATAATAGCCTTGACCTTGGTAGGGTCCATCTGAATGTCTGCACTAGACTCGATATAACCCAAAAAAACATATTTGGTCTGTCATGAAGTGAAACTTCTTCGAATGAGTATATAATTTCTTTGCACGCAGTACCTCAATTACTTCACTCAGGTGTTGTCAGTGCTCCTCAAATCGTTTGTATGCTAGAATGTCGTCAAAGTAGACCATAAAAAAATTTACGATGTGCGCGCGAAATACCTGATTTAGCAACCTCATAAAAATGTTAAGCTCATTTGGCAAGCCGAAGGGCATAATTGTCCACTTGCATAGTCCATCTCATGCCTTAAAAGCACTCTTCCACTCATCTCCTGATTTCATCCGAATTTGGTAGTACCCACAGCGTAAGTTGACCATGGAAAAGATGGTAGCTCTATGCAGTTGGTCCAAGATATTGTCTAGGCAAGGTATGGAAAACCGGCACTTGATGTTGATCTTATTGATGACCCTATTATCGATACATACCCGCCACGTCCCTTCCTTCTTGGGCACCATCAAGGCGGGAATAACACGAATGGGTACTCTCTTTGACTACCCCTCTTGTGAAGAGATTCTGTACCGGCCGTTGTAACTCCTCATACTCCTCAGGTCTCAATCTATAAAAAGGTCGATTCGACAACACCAATCCTAGTATAAATTTATGACGTGTTGAATGTCCCTCAATGGCGATAAACCCTCCAAAAGGCTGTCGATCATCACATCCTGAAAGTTCTATAATAGTGGTTGTAGTGGTGCTAGTATCCCATTCTCCTCCTCAACTCCCTCTAGGAGGACTAATGTCGGTGCCACGGGAGCATTTCAAACTGACTGCAGAAAGGTGGGCCGTGGGACTAATGCTTCCCATTTATCGCCTCGGCCACTTGCATCCTTAGCAGGAAACAACACAATGTGTTTTACATCCTTCTTAAAGGAGTAAGTATTCTTGAAGCCATTGTGTTGAGTCTTGTGATCGAACTGTCAAGGCCTACCCAATAGAATGTGACAGACGTAATGAAAGTTCTATAATAATGGTTGTAGTGGTGTTGGTATCCCAGTCTCCTCAACTCCCTCTAGGAGGACTAATATTGGTACCACGGGAGCATTTCAAACTGACTGAAGAAAGGTGGCCCGTGGGACTAATGCTTCCAATGTGTCGCCTCCGCCACTTACATCCATAGCAGGTATCAACACAATGTGCTTTCCATCCTTCTTGAAGGAGTAAGTATTCTTGAAGCCGTCGTGTTGAGCCTTGTGATAGAACTGTCAAGGCCTACCCAACAGAATGTGACAGACGTCCATTTGAACCACATCGTACCATACTTGCTTCTGTAGCTGGTCTTCAATAAAAAATTCGACCAAGCACTGCTAATCTATGCATATTTAGTTACCCTTATTCAACTAGGCAAGGGAATAGAGTTGAGGTGTTTTTGCTGGCCAATCCTAATTTCTTCACCATCAACGTGGATATCATATTTTCGCAACTCGCACCATCAATGATCAAGATGCAAAGTGTTACACCTATACGGGAGCCATTCCTCCCTGAACTGGCTGAAATCAATGTAACCCGCCAAAAGACGGGCTGCTCTTGGCGACAACAAGCATGATGAAAGGGGGGAGCCGCGGAAGAAGGAAAGGGAAGGGTGGGGCTCACTAGGACTATAATTTCCTATGCAAGGAGGAGAAATTAAGGGAGTTTGGAGGGAACATAAACATAAAAGTTTTTGGAATGGTGGGAGAGAATTTTATTAAGGGGAAAACCTAGGGTTTACTTTCTTTGTGCATGTTTTTGTGTGACTGTTGTTTTCTTTTCTTCTTGTGGAGTTCTTAGCAAGGTTTAGGGTGTGGGAGAGTCAATCTACCTCTCAAAAGTAGATCAACATTACATCTTGCGTGTTTTCCTTTGATTTTTGTAAGAACAGCCCTTATTGTGTTTCTTTCACCTATTTATTGTCATTTCCCGTGCTTTGTTCGCTGATTTTGGTGTCGAGGTGTATTAAATTGGTACCAAAGCATAGATTTTGATGGGATGACAACAAAAAAATTGAACGTGCTAGAAGGAGAGGTAGAGTAAACCTGATAGGGAATGGAAGAAAGATTCGCAACCATGGAGGACGAATTTTCTTCTATTGAAAGTCGAATAAATGACGGATTTGAAGGCATAGGAGAAATGCGGGAGATGATGAAAAAGTCATAGAGTCCAATTGCAAACTCTAACCAATGGTTGATCACTGAATGCTTGACCAGGTCAAAATGGAAGGAAACTGAGGGAGAAGAAAACGAAGAATACATCATGTAACTGGAAGGAGCGTCCTCCTGAGACTCCGAAAGGAGAGAGAGTGTAAATTTTTGATGGAGGGGAATGGGCTGAAAGTTGGAGAAGGGATGAAGTAAGGGACAGAAAAGAGTATGATGAAGGGAGGAGAGAATCAGGAGTGGGATATGCCTCTGACCGCAAGAGGGAGTTTCACCCTAAATATACGAGGGGAAATTCCTGAGGGCGAGGAAGTTAGGGTAGAGATGCAAGGGTCCAAAAACTGAAAACGACGATCTTTGAAGGGGAGAATGCACATGGATGGGCGTATCTAGTGGACCGATACCTTGTAATCAACGGGTTACTAAGGAAGAGAACCTCATGGTAGCGGGATTATGCTTGGAGAGGAAGGCTTCAGCGTGATTCCAGTGGATGGAGACAAGGTATCTGATGCACTCATGGGAGGAGTTTAAG